TCCAAGTCTTAATCTCTATGTGCAAGATGATCACACAGTCGAAATCAACCATCTCTGGTGTGACTATTGTTTGCTGACTTCAATGGCGACCATTTGTTTATGCATCGACCACAATTCTTGTTGTTAAGAGTGAAGATTTGGAACCTTTTTAGTGTTGAGAGATAACTGATTAGTTACCAGTAGAATGGTTAATCTCTAGCTAGGTAACAACTCCTTGGTAGCTATAAAGGCTATGTCTCACAAAACAATGTTAAGCGAAGAAACAACAAAGCCGGTCAATGATGCAAGTACTGCTTTCTTCTCTAGACCCTGCGTTGTCAAGTCAATTTCATCTTGGACAATCACACGGGTAGTGCAAGATGTTGTATTAGCTAAGTAAAGAGCTAGAGAAAGCATGTCCCTAGTTTCGGTCAACATCATTATGCATCTAGGTGTCGCGAAAAGGATTTGTTCAGGACTCTATTGGATGAAACCCAGGGGATAGTCAGAACTAGTTCCTTATCTTTGTAGGACTGTCCCTGCACGTGGAGTATGCATTGTGCCCCGCAAAAACAAACCACAAATCAAGTGCCTGTGCATCGACGAGTTGGTGTCTAAATCTACGGTTGAGGTTGTTTCCTAAGAGGTATGTAAGGAAAAACCCTAGCCTCCATCCTTAGTGAGAAAGCTACGGCTGCTTCTATACGAAGAGTTAGAGAGTGCGGAACACACTCCACAATGTGTGATGCAAAGAAAAAGAAGAGTGGGAAATCTGTCTAGATTTCATGGCACTAAACCGGTTATCTTTAAGCCAGTGATTAGAGGCTCAAACATGGTTGGATTGCCACAAAACTTGGCAAGCTCATTCCTCGCTTAAGGTACTTTGATGTCTTAAGCCGGTTTGAGGATTGGTTAAGTAAAGCATCAGATTTGAGAGATGTTTTGTCAGTTTGGGGACACTAAAAATGTCAAAATAGAGTAGTTTTGGTAGATGAATTGTTTGGATAGCCAAACGGTGTCCGTTTGAGCTGAATTTTGGTCAGTATTTAGAGGACTCTTGGATCTATACGCCTACCAAAAGTTATGCACAATGGAGCAGTAGGTTGTGAGATATAAACTGAAAACCAAGGTGTACAGAATCTATGATTTCTCTGTTGACTACTATCATCCCTCAAGTTAAAAGGTTGTGTTTGTGATTGATGCCAAGATTAGCAACATGATCAATGTTTTGCCATTAGATATTCCTTTAGATGTCCTAGAGAAGACTCCTTACACCCCTTTGTGCCTTGCTTTTGCCCTCTCATATCAATAATGGTTGAGCAGTCAAGGTGTTCTACATAGTCAATTTATGCCATTACGAGTCAAAAACAATTTGAAAAGTGTCAAACAATAGATTTCAGATTATGATTTTGAGTTGTTGATTGACATTAGAAAGAAGCCTCAATGTCAAAAGTAGTCCAACAAGGCTAGTTTTGCTACAGTGCAAGTCAACCCAACTTACTGCGCAACTACACCATGAAGGAAATTCTACAGACAAAAAATTACTATGAAGAACAAGTATCAGAGAGTGTCTTGACCAAATTAGCCTCTCTGATGCTCGGAGCAAAGTGACCTAATGCTATCGCAGACGTTGAAAATTGGATGACATGCTTCTCTTCCCTTAAAAGTCTTTCGCACCGAATCTCAGGGCGAGATTCTCGTAAGGGGGAGGGCTGTAACACCCCGGGTGTTAGCCACTTGCTAGGTAGTGGGTTTGAGTTCAAACATGATAGATCAAGAGGTAATCAGGAGCTTTAGTTCCTTATCTCTGAAATAGTGATGAAGGTGTTGAGGTCAAATCTATGAAAATGAGCCCAACTTGAACTTGGACAATACACCTTGCTTACATGTTGACCCTTTTCAAATGTAGGCTTGAGTAATGTGGAAGGTGCCCCTTTTTATGTGCCTCACATCTATTTCCATCTACATTGACTATTGAAAAAGTTTCATGAAGTTTGGAGCCAAGAAGTCACACGAAATGATAAGTTATAATATTTCTTGAATTGCTTCATCCAGTGAATGGGAACATGGGATGTCTATCAAACCTTTCTACCTTGCCCAAATGACTCTAATTGAACTCTACAACAAAAGTCATGAAGGATTCGTGTTGAGCAAATGTCAAGAAAATACCTCAATTGGTCAAAACCCTAATTCCAGGGTTTAACGAGGTGCTGCTTTGACCAAGATGAAACAATAATTTCGGTACCAAATATGAAGTTTGACCTTTAATCAAAGTTGAAGTTTGAGTGGAGCACAACAAACTTTATTTTTGTACCAAGACCTGATTCCACTTCTAAGTGTCTCATATAGTGGTCTCAAGTTTGAATGCAATGCTATTTTGGCCCCTCCGAAATTTTTCTAAGTTCTCGATTAGTAGCAGCATGATGGCAAGTTCATGGCATTTTATCTTTCAAATTTATATGGCAGCTCAAGTGAGTTCCTTACTATGAGTTAGAGTACACTTTGTGTTGGATAATATAAGAATCTCTAGTTATTTAGTTAAAAGTCTTCGAAGTGGCTACAACGAAACAAGTCTCAAATATAATGTTTGTCAAGCACGTGATTTGGGGCTCATTTGATCATTCAAAAGTTTTCTCCGTTAATGGCAAGTTAATGCTCGCAATTAGTTAGGTTATACTTGAATGTGAAATGCATCTCATATTACCATTCTTTATATTCATGCATCGGCAATCAAATCCAAGATGCACAACGGTAATGACGCTGCACGTTAATGGAGTCTAACCAGACCTACCCCTATTTGGAACATTTTATCTCCTAACCTGAGCATGATCTCACCACGAGCCTTTAATCAAAGTTGTAGCCCTCTTGTAGCTCTACAACACGGTGTGATTGGTTTAGCTTTTCATTGCTTGGTTTGGGAATTAGAGAGGGGAGAAGAAGGCGCTTTTATTCGTTGATCTTGAAATTGAAACTCAAGGTTTAGTTTTGGGTACCCTCCTTTGGAGCTCCATATCTTCCAATCTAGGCCGAGTTAGCTTTGAATCCTTAAAGAAATCTTGTTCACCTCGCGAAGATCTACAGTTTTGTATAAATTGGGCGATTCTGTCATAGCTGCCCTCGTCGATCAAGTGGATGAACTGAAGAGGAAGACAGAAAAGACTGAAAGAGAGCTTGAGGAATACAAGAAACAGCAATAGGAGGAGTACAATGATCTCCGTGAGCTATTATTTTAGCTCTAGTGAGTACACGCTTTTTATCCTCTTTCCGATGTTAAACTCTCTCTTCAACTCCTATGGAAACTTGATTATTTGAAAGATCATTTATGGTTTGATGTGAGGATTCATATGCCGGTTTGATGTGTGGACTCGTATGCCGGTTTAATGTGGGCTATAGCATGTACAAGTGGAAAGTATCTCCATCAAGTGAATGAACGAAGAGGAAGACAAAAGACCACTAGCGTGGCGAGGAGTACTTCCTACCACGCATGTCAAATCGTGGACCTATTACTATCTATCGCTGGTGAATTTTTCATCATAGATCAAGGCACTTCTATTGTAGTACACGCGGTAGAACAAGGGCGATTTTGTCGATTCACGATATACGACCGTGAAGCGGACAACATCCTGGACGTATGGATATGCAAAAGTGACGCGATTTCGATGACGAACCGATTTTCGTCATAAATTCGTTATAAAACTGAAATGATGACGAATTTAGCTCTTTCAGGGATGAAATCTATTCGTCGTGGAATTGGATATTTCTAGCAGTGTGATATACTCGTTTTCATGCGGACGCGAGCGTGAGCGATTCCCGCTCAAGATCGGTTGTAATTTGAGCCGTTGAAGGCGCGTAACTATTCCCGACAATAACTATCGTGATCGATTGACGGTGGTGTGATGAGATCACGCTACATACTAAGCGAACCAAACAGCACCTATGCCTAACGAATACTGTTGTTAAAAAGAAGTGACGACAGCATACATACATACATACATACATAGCACGGGTCGAGCGATTTTGTTCGAGCTCGAGGAGAGGAGACGATATCAAATCGGTGCTTTAGAATCAGGCGTCTAATTTGGTCACGCGCACAGCACTGAACCTGCCGGTGATCGATGCCAAAGCAAAAGTATCAGATATTATTTATTCCCTTTCGGTGGCCCTGAAAAATGGTGATTGATCTACTCGCGCTGCTTTATTCTCAGCATATATGTAGCTTTATTATTTAGTCGGACTGATGTCGAAGCCAGCTAAGCACTTTCCAATCATGCTGCTGCGGATGCCCAACCCGTTCTCTCTCACCCATCCCGTTCGATCCCAAGACGTGGATCCGTGTCCGGGAAATTAGGTCGGGTCAACGACCCAAAACAAAAATATATCGAGGAGGTCATGGTGTGTATGTAGATGATTCAGTTGGGCATTGTTTGGAGCTGGTGTGAATGTGTGATTCTCAAGTGCAACTTCATCATCGCATCGTGCACGGACTCTTTCTGACTGGGACGGCCGGACGGGTGAAAACGGACGTGGATATTATCTGCCACGTGTCGTGCCTCCGACGTGGTAACGACGAATGCCCGCCATTTCCTTCATGCCAGCTTTGGTACATAGGCCCAGACTACGTAGGTTGCTTCTGGGCCCAATTATCTTAGGCTGCTTTTTTTTATCATTTAGTCTTGTTTCTTGACTGACTGGTTCTCCAAATTTGGCTTATAATAACTGGTCTAGGCTTTTCTTGTTTTTGGTCTCTTATTCCCCCCTATATAAGCCCATGCCCATGGGTCAGGGCCCATGTATTGACAGTCCACAATCATGTATCGTAAGGCCCAACACAAAGCCCGTAAACTTATCGATGGCCCAGGCCCAAAAGCTAGCCGAGACCTCCCCTGTCTCTAGGGTTTCCCTCTTTTAATCCCCCTGCCGCCGCCACCCGCCACCCTCCGCACCCCGCCGCCACCACGCATCCATCTCACTCCCCCCTGCCGCCGGCGCACAAGGGCCTCGCCGCCGTCGCCGCGTTATCCATGGTGAGACTCTGGCCTCTCCCGTCATCACGCTTCGCCGCTCCTCACTTCCTGTGTATGGACCTAACCCGTGTGCGCTTCTCTGTGTGCGCGTGCGTGCCGTTTCTTGCGCAGGCGTCGGAGAAGAAGCAGTCCAACCCGATGAGGGAGATCAAGGTGCAGAAGCTGGTGCTCAACATCTCTGTCGGAGAGAGTGGGGATCGCCTCACCCGCGCCGCTAAGGTTCGTGCCTCTTCTTGCGCGTCAGATCTTTGCAAAAAACACTTCCTTGTTTTTTTTAAATCCTTGTAGCCGTCCAGTAGTTTGCACTGGTAGAATCTCATGCGCTTTTCTTAGGTAGCTTCTGCTATTCGTTTAGTATATGTTTGGCTCGGATTTTTTGTGATCAGGATAAAGATTTTTTATGACAGCAGAATGGAGTTGAGTGGAGAGAATTTCAAATTCAATTTGCTTTCCGTATCGTACAACAATACCTTAACGGATTAGTACATACCTATAAATTTATATAGTCAGCTGTCAGGTGACGTCTCTTATAGTTGTAGACTTGTAGGATGACTTTGTTTAGTCATTTCTGATCTCGATCATTGATAACAGAATGAGAATTCGAAGCTTAATGATAACTGTAATTTGCAAAAAAAACTTGAGATATAGATGTCATTTATACATTACAGTGTGCCTGTTCTAGTACATTGCAGCTCGTGCAAATGACCTCAACCATGTTTTTTTTTGTGGTTGTAGCTACTCATTTTACTTCTTGGTATTTTAAATCATACGATTTTGAACTCTAATTATGCTGTAAACTGCTTAATAGTTGATTGCTTCTATGGATCCTTTAAACTTACCTTAAGCATATCAGTAAGTCCATGGTTTGCTTCCTTGCTTGCAGGTCCTGGAGCAACTGAGTGGCCAGTCACCAGTGTTCTCTAAGGGTATATTTGCTTTTCTTATTAGTGTTTTCTTCTCTTCTCCTAGCAGTGAGAAGTTTCTTCCTTTGTTTAACATTTTGTGGTTTTCTGATTCTTCAGCTAGGTACACTGTCCGTTCCTTTGGTATCAGGCGTAATGAGAAGATTGCCTGCTATGTTACTGTAAGGGGTGAGAAGGCAATGCAGCTTCTGGAGAGTGGACTGAAGGTCAAGGAATATGAACTGCTAAGGAGGAACTTCAGTGAGACAGGGTGCTTTGGTTTTGGAATCCAGGAGCACATTGATCTTGGCATCAAGTAAGATTCTTAATGTGTCCTATTTCCAACTCATTGAAACTTAGAGCTATATTAAATACAAAATTGAGTAGTGTGTTGCTATCATTTCTTGGAACTAAGATGTTATTCATGTTTTCCTTGGATATGCATTGTTTATTTTTGCATAATACTATTTCTATTTGTTTATTTTTTGTAACATGAAGACTTAACCCAAGGATTTGATTGGATACAAGGAGGCTAGGCCCAATCTCTTTGGAATTGGAGGAATGTTAGTTCATGTTCCTTCCATTCTGAAAGGATCAAGTCTTATCTTTGCCTAACAAAACAAGCTTCGGGTCCATTATTTTTCTTTGGTTTTAATAAAATCTTTGCTGCTTATTAACGAGAAAATTGCATATTTGGGACTCTAATGGTTGCGCTTCGCAATTTTGGGACTCCAAACGTCGACTTCACAAAAATAGGCCTCCAAACGTTGGACACTTGATTTTTTGACCATTATGTGTATTTTCCTCTATTTTTTAATGTGTATACATGTATTTGCCTTCTAAAAAGACATTTATGCCTTCTGTGAAATTGCCGTGTATTTTTGTGGTTGCTCTGTACTCCGTGGCCATTGGGTACGTACGTACGTAAGTGGGCGTGCAGCCTGGCCGCCGCCTTGGCAGGCTGGACCGGGAGGATGGCCCTCCATGGCCGCGGCGTCGGGAGGCTGGACCTTGGTGTCGGGAGGCTGGACCTTGCCGCGGCGTTGGGATCACGGGAGATCGCGGTGGGGAGGGCGGCGGCAATACGATCAGTTAGGGCTGGACCTTGCCGCGGCGACGGGATCGCGAGAGAGATCGCTGTGTACAACATGCACGTACGCTGCAAAATCACAGGAGGGCAAAACCGTCCACTCAGGTGCCAAATACTGAAATACATGGAGGAATACTAGAAAAGGCAGAAAATACACATAATGGTCAAAAAATCAAGTGTCCAACGTTTGAAGCCCTATTTTTACCAAGTCGACATTTGGAGTCCTAAAACTGTGAAGCACAACGATTAGAGTCCCAAATATGCAATTTTCTCGGATCATCCAATATAATTCATTTTTCTAATAGAACTTGCCTATTCTTTTCCTGTTCTGTTGGGCCAATGATTTGAATTAATTGTCCGTACCATCTGAAGGCTAGCAGTTGCTGGTCTATTGCTGCACTTTATCTCTGAGGCCTAAGGCTTTTGTTTTTTAGCGTCTGTTTGGAATTGTTCGGTATTTTATCTGACAACAAACTCTAAACTGTAATATAAAAGTGAGTGTCTAGCTTCCATCTTTTAACTACGGTGCTAATCGTGTTTTTCCATGGATATGCATTGCTTTTTTTTGCATAATACTGTTTGTTTACTTTTTTAATGTGAACACTTAAACCCAAGAGCTTGATTGGATTGGAGGAGGCAGTCACTTCAGACCAGAAGGGTTGTTAGTCATTTTCCTTCCATTCTGAAAGGATTAGAAGGAATGTTAGTCATTTTCCTTCCATTATGAAAGGATTAGGGCTAACCTTGACTGACTAAAGAAGCCTTGACTTGATTTATTTCTCATTTTCAAAAATTATATGCTGCTTATGAACCCATATAATTTATTTCTGTAATAGAAAATGCCTATTATTTTCCTGCTCTGTTGGGCCAATGACTTGAATTAATTGTCTGTACCATCTGAAGCCTTTTTTTTTTCAACACATGGCTTAGAAGCTGCGTTCATTTGTATTAGTAGAAGAATAATAATTACATAGACCCAAAAACACTCACCCCACATTTTCCCTGATTGTTGGGCTACATGACTTGAATTAATTGTCCGTACCATCTGAAGCCTAGCAATTGCTGGTATACTGATGCACTTTATATCTGAGGCCTAAGTAATTTGCTTTTAGGTTCTTTGTTTGTGATTAATTTCTCGTTTTTAAAAATTGTATGCTGATTATGAACCAATATAATAAATTTCTGTAACAGAAAACTCCTATTCTTTTCCTCTTCTGCTAGGCCAATGACTTGAATTAATTGTCCGTACCATCTGAGGCCTAGCAACTGCTGGTCTATTGATGCTCTTTTCTCTGAGGCCTTAGTACTTTTGTTTTTTTAGCTTCTTTCTAGGAATTGTCTTTGGCATTTGTTCTGATAATATCTGATCCTTTTTTATTTTTAAATTTTGGTGTATACTTGTTTGACTAAGTATTTTATTTCTAGTCCAGTCAGCATTTCACGCTGTTGAAGAATACAGTATGGTCATATCATCTTTTTGGACACTGTTTTTTTTCTTCTGGAAACTGTTTGATCTTGATTTGCTTTTAATTCTGAACATCGATGTCTTGACTGGTCAAATGGTGATCATTGTCTGATACTTCTATATATTTTTCATGTTTTGTTTGAAAAACTGTTGTGGATGGCTACACATGCATGATGAATGATAAAGAATTTATCTTGTTCACTATCATTGGTGGTTCATGTAAATTTGCAGGCTGTACTAAGGATGTTCTAAGTAACATTGCTTCGTTCCTTTTCTTGTATGGATTGTCCTGTCAATCTTGACTTCATTCCTGTTTTGCCTCAGGTATGATCCTTCAACTGGTATCTATGGAATGGACTTCTATGTCGTCCTTGAGCGCGCTGGATACCGTGTTGCCCGACGCCGCAGGTGCAAGTCCCGTGTTGGAATCCAGCACAGAGTGACCAAGGAGGATGCTATGAAGTGGTTCCAGGTCAAGTATGAGGGTGTCATCCTCAACAAGGCTCAGGCTAACACTTCTTAGAAACACTATGTTACAGCAGCTCAGCCGTTAGACATGTTACAAATTGCAAGAGTTGCACCTCTACTCAAGTTTTCGATCTCGGATGATATTATTTACCAAGACTCAAGTACTTGAATTAGTTTTGGATCGAGGAGCTTATGATGTCTATTATAGTTTGAAAGCTTTCATGGATATGCTGCGCAGTTTCATTTGGTTCCGCAATTGCTTCGTTCGACCTACTTGTTCTAGTGGCATGTGTAGCCGGTTAAGTTCTGAGCTGTTGTTCTCTGAGGAGGATGTTTTTTTTTTCTTCTGTTTTGAGCGTACCGCTGTAGTCATGGGCATTCGGTAAGCCTGCTTCTGTGCGTTGATGCCCAATGGTCGTCTGAGATGATTGCTTGTGTAGCCAGAACTTAAAAAGGACGACGTCACCAACACGTCGACATGCCAGAAGCATTTGGACCGAGCAAAGAGCTAGCCGGTTTGGCTTCTGCTCGATGATGATGTGCGGATCAAACTAAAAGTCATAGTAATGCATTAGCTGTTGACAGCGTTGTAGAAACAGAACCTGTCATTTCAAACACGATCTTCATTGACTTAACAAGATTATCCGTTGTTTGAACGATTATCTATAATTCTGGTCCAAGCTCGTGCAATTTTCTGCGAGCATCCTGTGTCTAATACGATTCCAATCTTTTTTTTAAAAAAATAGTAAAATACCTTTCCAATCTTCTATTCTTCTGGCATGGGCTGCCATACTAAAAGTCAACGCCTAGTCACCAATCACCATATGGCTGCTACAGTTCAGTGACAGTGCAACAACGCTCCTCTGCTACAGAGGGAATATAGGAGCACTTGCGACCAGTTGACGTTTACAACACGCGAAACGAATTACGTATGGTATTCTATTCTTTTTTGAATGGATATACTATATTTTCATCTGTCGGCTAGTTTCAATTCAAACCTCGTAGCTCGTACAAATATGGACTCTGGAGCTACAGACGTGTTTGGATGCCTCTGCTTCCTGATAGCCTGAACAAGCGTGTCTGTATAAAACAGGAAAGCAGACTGTTTGGATGGGAAACTCCACCTTACTGCGCTGCATCCGCACATGCCAATGCAAGCCCGCATGCAGGTTTGGGTGGTGCAACCAAACAAACCTCACCAAATATTTTCTTTTCTGAGATACGAAATATGATTTCACTCAGTTTGCATCCATATAGCTAGGATATACGATGCAACCTTCATCCACCAACCAAACACACCGATGATGCTGCGCCCCACACGGACGCAATGAATGTGTTGGGATTAGAGATGTATGGACCTATTTTGTTTTAGCCTGTCAATGTGAACAACAGATTAGAGATTGTAAAGAGCTGTATCTTAACGATCTAGACTGTAGAAAAGATGAGCTATTTCTATTTGGCATCCTAAATTATCGGAGGGTTGGACTGTTGTTTTTTGTTGTGCGGTGTATACCCCAAGCCATTATGATTTATGAGTATATATTTTGTTCTTTACAAATCAGAGCGATATTTGCCCTACTTTGATTTTTTTTTAAAAATAAATATCCTGAATCAAGGTCCTGTATTGGTGATGATTTTTTGTTAAGCTTAAGGTGAAGGTTGAACCACGAAGCTGTTTGGCACGTTAAAGTGCCGTTCTTAGGATCTGGAAATTTGTACATGCTAGTGTCACGTGTGGATAGTTTTGAATCACAACAGTAGCGTCTGTGTGAATTTTTTTTGAGTCAATAGCATCTGTGTGAATTAAGCATAACTTAATTGGTTAGGTTGTTTGCCACGCAACCAACTCACCAGGACTAAAGACTTGAGTTCTCATATATACTAGTCCTTCAGCGCGCTAAAGAAAAGAAATAATGAAAGGTGGATCTTGATTTGTCGAGGATGTTTTCTGATGAGATATCCGCTCGGACTTTTAACATGAGGCGTTAAAAAAATTTAGAGGACGTCTAGAGCGCGGGTTGATTTCCAAAAAAAAGGGTTTTTTAAGAAACGACCGTGGCTTGCCCGTTCATTTAGTGAACGTGTCGTTGACCACAACGAATCATATCTTTAGATTTTTCTAAATTTATGCCAAGAAAGAAACAACATTGTTCATTTAGTGGTGTCGTTGATAGTAAGACACCTGTGTGAAGTATGTAAGTGCCTATGTTGATACCTGAGGTGGCTTCGTCAATTTCTAGGTCTTTTCAGGATACATTAAGTGGAAAGGAAAAATGACTATGATCCTCAATCAACAACTAAGATTACAAAATATCTAGCTAACATCTGTATTTTCTAGTATGACATAAATGGCAGAGACCAACCAATTTATTGAATACCAAATTACGTTAGCAAGCGCTAATTAAAATGGCATATGCTAATTAGATTGAATTAATGATGAGGGTTGGGAGCTATAGATTATGGCAAAAATGCTTATACTCATAATCAAATTTTTAATATGAACCGAAGGAATAGAAATATGTCATATTTACCTGGACCCATGCCCAAATCACAATGTCACTCTCAACAAGTCTCCATCACTGCCTCATCATCCCGTGTGAAAGGATCAAGATGCCCAAGAGGGGAGGTGTGAATTGGATTAAGTCTAAATTTTTGCAATACTTAAGTCCTACACTTAGCCCATTTCACCCCTTGTGCCTAAAATGCGTTTCTATTGTTTTCCCGCACAAAAGTTATGCACCCTAGGTTCTAATTCTACACTAGCATGGTAATTCTAGGAATGTAAAGACATGAAATGAATTACTCAAATGTAAATGCTCAAAATAAAGAGAGGAAAAGGAACACGACGATGTTTTCCTGAGGTATCGGAGAGTCTCCACTCCCCATTAATCCTCGTTGGAGCACCCGCGCAAGGGTGTAGCTCTCCCTTGATCCGCGCAAGGATCAAGTGCTCTCTACGGGCTGATTCTTTGACACTCCGTCGCGGTGAATCGCCCACAACCGCTCACAACTTGACTTGGGTCATCCACAAGCTCCACCGGATGATCACCAAGCTCCCAATCACCACCGAGCCATCTAGGTGATGTCGATCACCAAGAGTAACAAGCACAAACTCTCACTTGACCAAGACAAGCCTAATGAGAAAGGTGGATGCACACTTGCTACTCCCTATGCACTAATGAGGTCCTTAATCTTGGATTATTAAATCTCAATCACCCCACTACGCTCTTGCTCTCCCTTGCACTCCAAAGGTGTTTCTTGCACTCCAAAGGTGTTTCTCATTCAAAATATAACGTTTGGAGAACAAATGGGCAAGAGATGCTCACATGCACGAGTGGAGTAGTATTTATAATCCCCCACATTCAAAATATAACGAACCTTTGGAGGTCGAGCAGTCATCACTTTGGTTCTCCTCCACTCAGGCTGAGACCACTACTAGATGATTGACCGGACTCGACTAAGCGTCCGAGTTGACTCCTCTCTAGAACCTCTGATCTTAGGGATCCGGTCGATTACAGACGATTGCAGCTTGATCAAATGAATCGGTTCCTCCAGTGCTAGGTTTGACAAGTGTCCATTCACAACTCAAAATCCTAACCCAAGTTGACTCACCTTAGGGCTCAAGCTTCTAGTCCATATCCACACCTAACCCACTAGACTCACCTAGGTCAAGCTACTAGTCCATAAAGGAAAAAGGAAAAATAAAGTCCTAAACTACTCTAAGTGTCTCTCCAACACCAAACGACACTTGGAATTAGTCCGTCCTTAACCTTGTCGTCCATCCTTTAAAAACCAAAACGATTTCCATCGATAGGAGCATGTCAACCATGATTGCCCAATCAATTTCCATTACCATGACCTAACTCAAATTTCCTCTGCAAAACACACGTTAGTCATAGTAATGTCGTGTTGTTATTAATCACCGAAACCCAACTAGGGACCTAGATGCTTTCAATCTCCCCTTTTTGGTGATTGATGACAACACAACCTCGAGTATGTAAAAGATATGAGTGAGGTTTTCAACATGCTTGGTTCATATAAGCTTTTGACAATAAGAACAAAAGAATTAGGCATGCTTATATGACCCAAGCCAACAAGGTGTACTCAAAAGATATGAGTTAAGTATGAGTACATGTAGTAAAGCTCATTTGAATCGGAGTAAAATGTGGAAGCAAAGCAAATGAGCATAATCAAGTGACATGACATATATATATATATATCAATGTAGAGAGCACACATATCACATAAGTCTCACCATCACGTGTATATAATTCAATGCATGAAAGTAAATGTGAATGCACGAAGTATCACACACAAAAGACCAAAAGAATCAAATCGAGACCATCTCACACACCCCCCTAAATCTAACATACTCGCTCCCTCTCCCCCTTTTGGCGTCAAGCACCAAAACCTAAGGGTCGGATGGCGGGACAGGAGCAGTCGAGTCGAACACTGAGGTGCGGTGAGAGATCTAAAACTGAACTACATCATCCTCTGACCCTGGACTCTGAGCGGACTAACCCTCTGTCATTGGAAGTGAAGGTGAAGAGATCGAGGTCTACTCAGTAACTGGCGTGGCCTATGACTTTGGAGGTGTCACTGTAGGAAGTGGAGCCACATCTACCTCTACCCCTGTCGCTGAAGCCTCAAGTGTAGGAGTGACTGTTTGAGGTGTCTCGGATGATGCAATAGACAACGGAATCGTCTCGGTAGTCCTGGTAACACGAGCAGCTGTGGTAGGGACAGGAACTCGAACACTGGAGGTGTAGGCTACCCTATAAGCTCACTGAAAGTAGCGCTAAGACTCCTAGAGACTGGGGTGTCCGTCACTAACGTAGGCTGCCCTATAAGAAGTTTGAGTCAGAGTGAAGGCCATAACAATAGGAGTAAACTACGGACCCTGAGCTATCCCTAGTGAAGCAAACCACTGAGACACCTGCTCTGTAGGTGAGGTAAACTGAGGAGCTGGCTATCTCTGACTCGGAAGCCCACTAGGCTATACAACTGGAGTCACTAGAGTGGTGGTGGCAGGTTGGCCTATCTAAAATGTAGACT